GGTCACATACTATATGATTTTATTGATGTTATATTCCTGAAATGACAGAAATTCTATAATGCATTCCAAAGAATTCTATAATGTAAAGGAATGGAGAACATGGTGGTTTCTGGGTATAAAGGAAAGGAGTCAGGTGGGAAGTGGGTGTGATTTAAAAGGGCAACAGAAAGATTTTCTGTAGTGAATCAAATGCTCTGTATCTTGATGATCAATATATATATATCCTGGCTGTGATATTTTTTCTATAGCTTTCCAAGATGTTTCCCTTGGAGGAAACTGGTCAAAAGGTACACAGGATTTCTCTATATCATTTTATTTCTTACAACTGCATGTGAATCTACAATTATCTCAAAATGTAAAAATAATAATAATATTTTTTTAAAAAAAGCAAACAAACAGGGTTCAGACTGGATTTGGCTTGCAGATCATAGTGGGCCAACTCTGGCTTAAGTGATTTGGTCACTCCCTTCCTCGCATACCTTGCCTTGTGCTAGCTAACCTTGTTTTCTTCTGTCTCACTGAGCTTTGACCATCTGGCCTTCTCTGTTCCATAGACAGGCCAACACTGTTCCTCCCTCAGGACTTCCATATTTCCGGCTCCTTCTTGGATAATGCTTCCCACTTGTATTCACCCAGGAGACTCCACTCATTACTCAGAAGTCGCTCAGATGTTCAATGTATGCCTCCTTCACTCCATCCCCATTCACTTGGTTCGTTCTTCCTCTCACTTTTTTCACACCATGGGATAACCATTTTATTTATTTACTCATTAGTCATTTGTCTCCTCTCTAGAATATAAACTCCATGAGAGCAAGGCCTTGTCTCTTGTGTTTACTGCGACATTTTCAGCACCCAGCACATTTGGTTAGCACTGAGTAGGTGTCCAGTAAATATTTTTTGAACGATCCAATGAAGGGCTTGTATAGGTAAGAAAGAAGCTGATAGTTTCAGTTAGGTTTCCTTTTGGGGGGTTGGGTTCATTCCTTTACCATTTGTACGTTTGCCCTTCATTTATGAAGTGCCTACTATGTGCTGGGTTCTGAGCCAGACACTTCCGGAGTGTTTTCTCATAAAGTCTCCAGAAATTCCTCCACGAGAGGCACCATTACTCCCGTTTTCCAGCTGAGGAACATGAGGAGCTCTCTGAGGTGAACCACTTGCCGGCACCCTCAGGGTCACAAAGCCTGCATGGACTCAGGCCTGACTTCAGTCCCCATACTCTTGTCTCCAAGCTCCCCCCCAACCATTTAAAGAAAGGAAACTGAGGCCCAACTGGGTTCAAGGACTTGCCCAGCACACAAAGCAAGTAAGCAGAAGTGCCTGGGCAGGAGTTCTGATCTTCCTCTTTCTAGTATGGCAGCATGTCTCCCTTTTGCTCAGGGACATCTTCTCCTGACTAAGAGGAAGTCTTCTCTGACCAAGGTGTCCCTACTCCAGTAACGCCTAGTAACTCACACTGGCAGGGTTTTTCTTTTCTCATTCAAATTATCCTGTGCTTCTTAGTTTGTTCTGTTATAGTCCTCTGTCTGACAGATACGTAGTATTCCTTAGCTCTCAGAGGAGATTCTAAGCTCCTTCAAATTACCCACAACAGTAGCTGCCACTTGCTGAGCGCTCTGCTGAGCATTTGCTGCATTTCACTCCCTGTATTAGTTATCTATTGCTGCATAACAAATCATCCCAAAACTGAGCAGCGGAAAACGAAAAGCTCTCACTATCTCACATCATCTTTGAGGGTTAGAAATTCAAGAGTGGCTTAGCTGGGTGGGTCTGGCCCCTCTGAGGTTGTAGTCAAGGTGTCAGCTGACTGAACTGGCCTGATTGGGGCTGGAGGGTCTGTTTCCAAGCTTACGCATGTGCTGTTGGAAGGTCAGCCTCGCTGGCTGTTGGCCAGAGGCTTCCGTTCCTTGCCCCACGGGACTCCCTCTACTGCTGCTCACAACATGGCAGTTTGAGTTCACCACAGCAAGTGATATGAAAGAGAGGGAGGGAGGCAGAGGGAAGCCTCAGTCTTCTATAATCTAATCTTAGAAGAGATATACCATCAGTTCTGCCATATGCTATTGGTCATGCCGAGCAGCGGCGGTACAGTGTGGGAGGAGACTGCACCGGGTGTGAACGCCAGGAGGCAGGAATCACCGGGGACCATCTTGGATGCTGGATACAACTCTGTTTACTCCTTACAGTAATCCTATGAAGACAGATGAGGTTGAGTCACTGGCAAGAGGTTACGCAGCTTGTAAGAAGCCGAGCTTGGATTCAGACCCAAAGTTATCACACAAACACACTATACATCCTGTCTGGCACTCAGATGGCTCATTGGAAAAGTCGCAAGTGGCTACAATGTTGCAGACACTATGCTGAGTGTGTGCTGCAGCTGGGGGCAAGGCAGGAAGGTCCATTGTATTACAAACTTTGCATTTTGGTGAGTGAGACAGATGATAAGCAGTGAAGTAATTGAAATAATATGCAAGTAACCTCAAATGATGATACTGGTAGATCTAGTCTGCCCTCACCCACCTGCGAGAACTCAGGGCTTGAAGTCCACGCTGGATGAAGGGATGATCGTGTGGGGGCGATCAGAAAACCCACTTCATCTGCTCAGAACACCTTTCCCATGGTCACAGACTGAATGCAAGTTTAATTCTAGCTCTGCCTTTCATTTGCTGTGTTATGTTAATCAAGGAACTTCACCTCTCTGAGCTGCAGTTTCCCATCTGTAAATCATCATCAAGTTTGCCTTCAGCTAGAAAATGCGTTAATGTAAAGGGTAGTAAGTATGGTGGGTGGAGCCCCAAGTTGGGATGGGGGCCCTGGCTCTGTACCCTCTGCTCCAATGTGCTAGGTTTTTGCGGGGACACCCTCCTCCTCTCTGAGCCTCAATTTTAAAGTAAGGAAATTAAGTCAACTCTAAATCCATCTTTGCTCCAATGTCCTGAGACGGGAAATCCATCAGTCAGTTAGTGACGGGGGAGTGGAGTGAGTTGCCTGGGAGTTAGCTAAGAGCTACAGAGCCAGAAAGCCTGGAAAGCCCCGCCCCTGCCAATTCTCCTCAGTTTCCTGGTCTGTAAAATGGGACTAATGATACTTCCCACCAGAATTGGCTTCCTGTGGGCACTGTACCAAATCACCACAAACTGTGTGGCTGAAGACGATGAAAATATATTCTCTGTCAGTTCCAGAGGGCAGAGGTCTGAAGTCATGGTGCTATGGGGGTCCTGCTCCCTCCAGGGGCTCCCTTGCTTCCTTCTGGCTTCTGGAGGTTCCAGCATTGACTGACTCATGGCCACATGGCTGAAATCTCTGCTGTGCATTCACATGGCCTTCTCATCTGTGTCAGTCCTCTCTGTGTCTCTATCTTATGAGGACATCCGTGACCATTCAGATCTACCTTGATAATCCAGCTAGTCTGCGTAATGCAAGGACATTAATTTAATCACATCCGCCAAAACCTTACCATCGAAGGTGACATTCACAGGTTTCGGGGGTCAGGACAGAAACATATCTTGGGAAGCCATTATCAGCCTACCACACTACCTCATAGGTTTGCTGTAAGGACTAAGTAAAAACAGGTTAAGTGTTTTGATCTTGCCTGGATTACAGAACATACTTTTTTAAAGAATAAAAGTGGTAGGGAATTAGCTGGGGATGGGAAGAACTAGGAGTGATTCCGTGCGCCAGATCCCTCCTGTCATCTGGTAAGAAGGTCAGCCATTCTTTCCAGTGCTCATCCCTGAGTCTCTGCGGATGGACAGACCCAGCCCCGAGTACCCGTAAATGGCTCCCAAATGACCCCGTGACCAGGTGCCCTCCTGTCTGACCCTGAGTGTTCCGAGACAAGCAGGGGCGTCCTCTGAGCTTGTATTAATATTTATAGCACTTCACTCACATGGAAAATTGATTTTTCTTCTTAAGCATAAAATGTAGCCAGTTTTATAACCTTTCTGCAGCTTGACAAAGGCCATTTATAACCCACTTTCTCAGTCACCCTCCCTGGCACCAGTCTTAAATGTCTCGAAGAACTCTCATGCATTTGTAATTATGAATTCTTCTTAGGCAAAATTTGATTTCCAGGAGGGCTGACCTTTTGTTGTTGTTGTTGTTGTTGTTATGGTAGTCTTTGTAAATTGATTTTTGTGTGTGTGTTTGTTATTGATGTTCAGGATGGTGACTTGGGGAAGGGACTGGGGGCGGGGGGGGTGTGTATCATGGGGCCATTTTAATCAGTGATGTCCAGTGATGGATGAGGAGGGCTGAGCTCTGGGTGTTCATCTCTGTGGACAGGAAATGCCAGCAGGGTGACTGAAATTAAAACCTTGTACCTCGTTTTCAGTCCCGGATGCAGGAGAGTTGGTCCTGCTTCTCTGTCTGTCAGACAGGAAAAGATGAGCTCAGCTCATCAAATGATGGAAAAGAAATAGCCAGTTGTCCCTACGGAATAGGATCTTCCCTTTATGGAGAACTTAGCAGATGCCAGGCACACTGATAAGAGCATTTGGCTGAGGTCACTCAAGATTGGAGTCATTGGGGTTTTTTAGGGACCGGAGGGCTGCTGGTTTGGTGACCTGGAGAGAGGTGCTCATGGCCAGGCAGAGGATCTGAGGCACCTGCGGAGGACCTTGCCTATCATCTTAAGGAGATTCAAGGTGTTGCTATTGTTGTGGAAAATGCATTCATTTATTTAAGCTGGGGAGGGATGATTTAGAAATAGCACTCTGTTGGCCATCAGGAGGATGGTGTGGAAGAGACCAGACTGGAGTTTGCGGGCTCCTGCTGTGGGCATGCAGGAGGAGTCCCATTCAGGACTCTGGAGACAGGGATGGAGACAAAGAGACAAATTCAAGACAGGAAGGAAGAGAACTCACGTGTGACAAGTACCAAATTGTGTGTGGAATTCTGAAGTAAGGTGCACACTCCCAGGATCCAATTTAAGTTTGACAACAAATCCACAGGGGTAGGTGCCATGCCCATTTAACAGATGAAGAGACTGAGGCTCGGAGATGGTGAATAACTTGCCCCAGATCACAGAGGGAGAAGAAGAAGAGCTGGAATGTAAATTCATAGCAGTAGGAACTCTTTAAAATATATCTGGCTGCTGGCCAGAGTGATTTTTCATCAATGGCAGACCCTATTGGACCATAATACATGCAATAAAGATGATGGTTCCAGCATTGTCAATAGGAAGAGCAGCTAACACACTTGCTGAACATTTGCCGTGTGGGCTGCAGTGTTCTGAGCACTTTGCTGACGGTACCTCCTTGTATTCTCACACATCTACCAGGCAGATACTGACAAAAGTCCCATTTCGCGGGCGGGCACACTGAGGGTCAGAGAGGCCACAGAGCTCTGAATTGGCCAAACAGGACTTTGATGGAAACTGTCTCTGTGGTCCCTGCAGCATGCCGCTTTTCAGAAGGTGGGAGGAGAGGGCTTGAGGGGACCCACCACCTCCTGGGCCATGACCGCCCTGTTGCTCTCTCTCCCCCGAGCAGTGCCCCGAGGAGCTGAGGCCCATGAAGGACGGCTCCGGATGCTACGACCACTCCAAAGGTATCGACTGCTCGGACGGCTTCAACGGGGGCTGTGAGCAGCTGTGCCTGCAGCAGACGCTGCCTTTGCCCTATGACGCCACCTCCAGCACCATCTTCATGTTCTGCGGGTGAGTGTTTGTGCCCGAGGCCCAGCCACTCCCTGCACAGCGGCGGCCGGGAGATGTGGGGAAAGGTCAGGAGCTGCAGGCAGGCCAAGGCGGGCCTGACCTTCAACGAAATGCCTTTCTCTGTCTGCTCTTTCAGCCCAGGAAGCAAAAGGCAACAGGATAACCTTCTATTGGGTATTGGGAAGAAGAAAAGAAGAAGTAAAATAAATAATTGATTAATGGTTATAATAAATGGAATCCATGCTCAGGCTGTGTCCTAGGGTCAGGACAGTTTTGTGCTGAAGCCCCCTGCCCCTTCTGCATCCCCCCTACAGCCCCGGCCAGTGTAGTTTGGAGACCAGACCAGGCACCTTAAAGGTGTCATTGAAGAACCAGCAGGTGTGCGTTAAGGACACAGGCTTAGGCCAGGCTTTCAACCCTGTTTCTTTCTTTTTTTTTTTTTAAAGATTTTATTTATTTGTTTGAGAGAGAGAGAAACCACATGAGAGGGGGGAGGGTCAGAGGGTGAAGCAGACTCCCCGCTAAGCAGGGAGCCCGATGCGGGACTCGATCCAGGGACCCCAGGATCATGACCTGAGCTGAAGGCAGTCGCTTAACCAACTGAGCCACCCAGGCGCCCTCAACCCTGTTTCTGCAGGAATTTAGCAGCGCCCATTCAGGGATGGCCTCTAAAGCCCTATCTGTAAGGCGAACCAAGTGGGGGCAGGGAGGCAGGAAGGAGGCCATGCAGCCCTACAATGGCATTTTAAAATTCGTCTGAGACTGAAAGAAGGGGCACACTGGGACCAGCTTGCTGAGTGGCCCGGGACAAGTCGCTTTTCCTCTCCGGGTGCTGTCTGATCACCTGTAAAATGAGAGCTTTGGACGAGGATGCCCACCATTCTTTCCAGTTTTCCTTGTTTTCCGTGCAGAGGACCTCAGTGGGAGTTACCTCTCTCCGGAATGGCATCCCACAGAGGGCTTGGTCCTCAGCAGTCACTCAGGGGAATGGATGCACTCTTTACTCTCTGCCTCGCTCTCCTCCTGGTGACATCTCCATTTTTAAAAATGTGCTCATCCTTTGACATTCTGTGACAGACAAATAATCCCATGCTTGTGCAAGAATGTCAGTCATTGAAATACGCTCTGTGCTTTACTGAGATAGAAAAACAGAATGAGATTTAACAAGAACCTTTTCAGTCCTACGTCTTATGCAAAAGAGGGTGGGGGAGGATGTATGCGTTTAATCCCAGTTTGAAAGAAAATGAATTTTACCTGCAGGGTTCTAGTCCAGGGATCCGGTGTTCCTTCTGCGACATATTTCAGGGTCTCCCCCTCTACCCCAGTTATATTGGGGCTGCAGGTGCCTTTGAGCAGGTGTTGGAGCAGCTTGCTAGAGGCCCTAGATATGTATCAGTAAAATAAATAAGAAATAAATTAGTGTATGCAGACCTGAATTTATAGCTGACTCTCCTCAGCTTAAGTTACTACAGGGCAGTGTTGAGTAAATTATGCATGGGCTTAGATCTGAGGCTTGAATACAGAATCAGCTGTGTTCTTATCATTATTTTTCTCCCTGCGTACTTGGTATGTGTGTGGGGGGCGGTCCTTCTGTTGCAAATAACAACAGTAACAGCAGCAGGGATGACACTAGTGGACTTGGACACAGAAATGGTCAGCACCGTCCGTCCGTAGCACACTGCAGCGGTCAAGGGGAGGCAGCAGACGTTAATTCTCATCGCAGCGCTACCAATATCTCTCTTGTGGACATTGGGCAAGCCTCTGAGGACCCCTACTCTTCAGTTTCTTCCTCTCTAAACTATTAATAAAATTTACTTCAATACAAAGATGGTTGGGAAGAATGCAACATATTTACTGTTTATTACCCCATTAAGCTTAAGTCACGTGCCCAAGGTCACGTGGCTAGTAATGTAGCTCACTGCCTTCTTCCTGTGTGACCTTGAGCAAGTCACTTAACATCTCTGTGCCTCCCTTTCCTCATCTGTAAAATGGGGATGGTAATTGTTATCTCTTTATGGAATTGTTGTGAGGACTAAAATGCATTACATCACAACTTATATGAATATCTGTAAAGTGCTTCTGAACAGCGCTTTTTGAAGTACAGTTGAAATACAATATAATATTAGTTTCAGATGTACAACATGGGGATTCGACATTTATATACATTATGAAATGCTCACCACAGTAGGTGCAGTTACCATCTGTCATCATACAAAGTTATTATACTGTTATTGACTATATTTGCTATGTCATGCTTTGCAACCCCATGAATTATTTATCACTGGAAGTTTCTTCCCCTCAATCCCCGATCCCCTTCTCCTATTTCACCTGGCCCTCCACCTCCCCTCCCCTCCGGCAACCACCAGTTTGTTCTCTGTATTTATGACTCTGTTTCTGTTTCATTTTGTTTGTTTTGATTTTTAGATTCCACAGATAAGGGAAATCATTTGGTATTTTTCTTTCTCTGTCTGACTACTTTCACCAAGCATAAGACACTCTAGATCCATCCATGTTGCTGCAAATGGCAGGATTTCTTTTTTTTTTTTTTGATGGCAGAGTAATATCCCATTGTGTATATATATCACATCTTCTTTATCCATTTGTCTGTGGATTGACACGGGGTTGCTTCTGTATCTTGGCTATTGTAAATAGTGCTGCAACAAACATCAGGGTGCATGTATCTTTTCAAATTAGTGTTTTCATTTCCTTCAGGTAATATCCAGAAGTAGAATTCCTGGATCTTAGGGTGCATCCTGTTTTCCACAGTGGCTGCACCAATTTACATTCCCACCAAGAGTGCACTGAAGTTCCCTTTCCTCTGCTTCCTTGTCAACACCTGCTCTTTCTGTCTTTTTGATACTAGCCATTCTCACAGGTTTGAGGGGATATCTAATTGTGGTTTTGATTTGCATTTATTTAGTGATGTTAAATGTCTTTTCCTGTGTCTGTTGGTCACTTACCAGCATCTTCTTAGGGAATATGTCTGTTCAGGTCCCCTGGCCATTTTTTAATTGGATTGTTTGTTGGTTTTTTTTGGGTGTAGATATATCCAGTAAGGGGTTAATATCCAAAAGATATGAAGAATTCTGGAAGTTGTAAATAGGATAGAATGGGTGGGAGTTTGCTGTGAGCTCTTGAAGCCCATCCAAATGCTGGTAAACAGGACAAAAAAGAAAATAAAATCCAGGTCTCCTAACACCAACTGCAGTGTCAATGCGTTTTGGAAATTGCCTATTAAGGATGCAAATGAGAAGTTACCCGTACTTGTTAGAAGCACTATAAACAAAACAATGAAAGCCATTAGCAGGTACTTGTGAGAAAGTTGGTGGGGAGAAGTGGCAAGCCTTGAATTAAGCGAGGAAAACAAACCTTTGCTCAAGGAGACCTTCGGAACTTGCTCAGAGCTCTGTGACCTCTCTGAATTTCCTGAGTAGGGGCATGTGTAATAAACCTCTCCGCAGCCAGGAGAGTCCCAGCAGCCAGCTCTTACGAAGTGCCTTCTTCGGGTCGGGACTGTGCAAAATGCTTTGATTACAATAGGCTATTTAATTCTCGTAACAACTCTACAAGGGAGGCACTATGACGATCCCCAGTTACCATCAAGAAAACCAGGCACATGGTGGCTCTGTGACTTGCCCAAGGTCACACAGCTGGTAAATGGAGGCTATAGGGTTTCTACCCAGGCTGTGTGGCTCTAGTCTGTGTCACTCCGGGCCTCTGGGCACTTCTAGTGCTATGTGGTCTTAAGCAAGTCACTAAACTTCTCTGAGCCTTCCCTTTTCAAGTGGACTCAGATGGGACTGTGAGGATGAGTGAAATAATGCATGCATGGGGCTAGGGCATGTAAGCACCCAGGAAATGGGAGTTACAGCTAGTCGAAGAGGTATAAAGCCATCTAATTTCATCATTCAATGACTGTACTGTAGGTCTTGGTTACCATCTCTAGCACCTGCATCAGTGCCTGGCACATAGGAGGTGCTCAAGTAATCATTGTTAAATGATGTTCCTCAATTAACGTGGCTAAAGAAGTTGTTCCTGGTCTAGTTTTTCCAGCTGTGATTCCAGCTTTCTCCCTTCTCCTGAATTAGGGCCTGTGGCTTCAGCTTCTGGAATTTTCACAATGTTGTTCCTTTCTCCTCTCCTCTCCTCCTCCCTGGTACCATCAAGCCCTGCCACCTTGCTTGTGGCCATTTAGCTTAGACAGCTCTGTTTCATCCTCCAGACTCAGTGTAGATAGAACCTTCTCCAACAAGTCTTCTCTGAGCCCCGTGGGGTGCAGGAGTGAGGTGCGCAGTTACCCCGGAGCTGGATAGTAGAATACTATCCTCACCCTTTCAAGTGGACGCTACTTAAATATTGGCTCGGTATTTATCAAGGGGGGTTAGGGCATGCGAAGAAAGGACTTTCTTTTCTTGTTTTATTTTGGTTTGTATTTTTTATTTCTACCCACAAGACCCTCTTCCAAGGGAGAGGCCCATTTGCATGTAGCCTTGAATTCCAGTTTATCCTGGTGACATCTGGATGCCTCTTGCAGACTGGACCTGTAGCTAGCTGCCCTGATCTTCAGCCCCTAGTCAGGCCAAGGTCTGCACTACTGAGTAAAGTACCTTTCTCTGGGGTCACACAGGTAGCACCACCCCCGCCCCCGCTGCCCCGAGCTTCTCTCTGTGGTCACCCTATTGCTCTTTTGACTTACCTGCTTTCCTGGTGTGGTCCTCATCACACCGTGAGTGCCTCATGGCCAGGGACTAGGTCATAGTCACCTGTGGATCCCCTTTGTCACTCCCCACTATTTGGCCCCAGAACTTCTTTAAAACTGTATTTGTTGAATTAAGGAATTCATCTACCTAGGATTTCTTGTACCTACTCTGTGCCTGGTCTTTTGTGGGATGCTGAGAATGCAAAGAGGGTTGAGTACAAGTCTTTGCCCACCCAGGACAGAGGGGACGCTGAAGGGGACACTGAGGGCAGGCGGCTGAGCCTTACTTGGTCCCAACTGA